GACCACATCCTTTTCATGCAACAAAAAAACACAAAATTTAATCAACTCATCTCACTATAGCCTACGGGAAGATTGTAGAATGGTGACTGGATGGAAACAAAATGCTTAGACAGGGAAAATCTCAATGTGGCATAAGTAATGTAAAACAAAAGTGCCTGGGTCATCCAAATACCTGCCTGCAAGAGTTCATCCAAGGGATGTTGATGGCAAGAGAAGCTGCGAGATGAAATACTTGAATGGCATAATCCCCCAAGATGAATAAACAAGCTAGATAAGCTGTTTAACCCAGCCAGTCTAAGTGGAAGGAGATAGATTGCAAAAAAAAGTAAAAGAATCCCATAGCAAGGAAAGACAACACAGACTACTCCATAATGGAGCAGTAAGTCAGATAACACCAAACTGCCCTAACAGGGCAAATTAAACAATCAGAGTCAGAATGGTCATGCAATTAAGAAAAGGACAGAACCTTTCATGCAGGAAGAGAAGTTACCATACGAGATTTGGTAATTTGATGCTCCATGTCTCAAAGAAGTAAGGGAAAATGTTGAGCCTGCCCTGCAAATGAGTTGAAAAGACTCCCTTTTAAATACATTGACCTACAGTGATACAAGTCAGAGTAATGTACGATTGTTTCAGTATAAAACAACACAGTGAGTCATCTGCATTCCATTTGCCATGAGAAGTGAACCCCAAACTGTACCATTTTAAGCCCATAAATTGAATGCTGACTTCATAAGGAACTTTTTTAATGAAGTAGATACTAGATGGGGACAAATGGGAATTGAAGAGCTTAATCAACCAACCTAAGCACTACGACTCCTTGTCAGGAAGAAAAGAACCAGATGCACAAACAGATGATGGTAACTGTAGAAGAAAATTGTTAAAAGACAAGGAAGGCTCAACTGAAGCAGTAGGTTGGAAATCCTATATTCAAGATAAAATGGCACAATAGTGGTAGCATCATTGACAGTCAGAGTGTTTCCAACTGCCACTGAAAACAGTAAAAAATGACTCCTGTTGTGAATTAACCTTGAGTAAATGTGATATGTAAATTTACAGTTATGTTGATCCATGAAACCATTTAATTTGTTTGTTTTTTGTACTTTGTCCGGGTATGTCCCTGGTATATACATAGGCCTTGGTCATTGTCATAACAAATGTGGAAACTAATTATTGAAACTCAAACACTTGATTAATAACAACAGAGAATAGTATTGTCAAAAAACCACATCAAAAACTCTGGAACACCTGTTCCAAAATTTTGTAATTTGATGAAGAAAAAATAATATAATTTCAATCAAAAAATTTAGCTAAAATCTCTAAAATTGTGCTTCTTTCTTCCTCAAAATCAAGAAAATAAAGGCAAGAAAGACTAAACACAAATGTTGCCTAAATGTTTAAAATAATAAGTACAAAAATCCCAATATTCTTAATGAAAAAAAAACACACCTAAAGCCAAACAGTGCCAAGGAAAGAATGAGCCTTTGTTAAAATGAAATTGCTAATGGGGTTTGCTGCACATGGGGGATGTATCACCCTTCTACTGGTTGCAAACATCATTAGACTGGCACAGTATATATTATTTCTGTATTGGGGGGGGGGGGTCATTCAAGGCTTGATGCAGGTGTTGAAATCCAGTCAATCTTATGAGCTATGGCATCAAATGCAGAAGTTTTGTCAACCATTTGAAATTACTTGAACACACTCCCTTTTCTGGAAACCCAAATGGGTAGTTAAAATTAAAGTGTCATTTTTTCTTTTACCATTTATTTATGTTATATTCATAACATTTGCACTTATAACTTACAAAATATTATACATACAGGCCAAACCATGATTGTATATATGAGCTCAACTATGTTCAAATGGTAATAGTTAGACACCTTCAAATTGTGAGGTACAACATCCACTGGAAGAACTGGCACAGACATACCAAGAGTAAGGAGCATTTGTACAATTTTTATAAAAAATAAACAGTACTGTGTTATTGAGGATATAGATATTCCAGGCTAAACAAATTATCACTTATGTAATTTTTTTTTTATTTCATTAATTTACAAAACTTGAATAAGTTTCTCTCAAGATGCAGCAGTTACCCTTGAACATTTGAAGATGAAATAAGAAACTCTCGTGGTTTACAATTTATCAATCAAGAAAAATGCAAAGTTAATGAATAGTCTAGTCTGTAAGACATTTCAACATATTTGATGCTTTCTCATCAAGAAGTAAGGCCTTTTGTACCAAGAGATAAGGTATTTTCTATGTACTGGCATAAAAGAAATTTTTTTAAGTAGAGTCAAGCCTAGTTAAGATGTCACTAAAAGGGCCAAGAAATCTATGTTGCTATAAACAAGTGTCATACAAACTGAGGTAAACTTTACACGTGTAGTAAATAACCAAAGAAACACAATCAAACATACATGCATAATTTTATAGCTAGTTAATATAACATAAGTACATATTATTGAAAAATACCATTGATTGTTTAAATAAAAAAAAAACACTGATCTGCCATGAGACACACACTGTGATATTTGCTATGAAAATATTTAAGTAAATCCTCAAGCTCACCATGTATGACAATCGTAACATTTGTTTTCTAGATCTCTGCTCTATCAAAATTTACTTATCACCCCTTTTTGGAGTACAAAGTCTAATGTGAATTGACAATTATATTATGGATATTCCTATGAGAAATTTTAATTTTGCCAGGCTAGAAACTTTTGTAATTAGAGCTGTCAACTAGAAAAGCAGAGCCAACTTACACGCCCACCTCTAATGTACTCAAAATAACATAATACATTTTTGTGACATTTATCTCCTCTAGTTCATATCCAACAAGCTGAGGCACTCATCCTAAATCCGGATGGGAAAAAGGATTGAATGTACGGCTTGAATTAATAAATTAAACCATGAACTTGTATTTATATATGTAATTTATTTCACACAATTTACTTTACAACTACTTTAAATCAAACCTACTTTATTCAGACCTACTTTTTCCCACATTACAGAAATAGTGTTATAATTACTTTATTTTATTACTTTTACTAATCCTTCTCTACAGATTCTATGTATGTTGATACTCTGAGTGCTTCTTGATAGACCACATTAGATGTTCTTCCTCTTTCCTGGGCCATAATAAAGAGATGTCTGGTGATCCTACTCTTGAACACCCAATATAGAACTGACCATGTGAAAAGCAAGGGGTTTTCAGATGTAGCCCTGCCACTTTTAAGTGTCTGCCCTTGTGCTTTGGTTGCCATTTTTCCTGGCAAAAATGTAAATGTTTGACATTTTTAATGAAAAAACTAAAAAAAATATTAGGAATAAACATTGGTCCAAGACTGTGGAGTCATTAGCTAAACATATATATTTTAGTTGTGGGTGGGGCCAAGTACTAATCATCCTATACCATGGTCCTTGATCCAATGTATCATCCTACCAAGTTCAGATGAGATTGATCCAAGACCACAGAATAGTTCACGGACAAACCAAACTAACAAAAAATATTTTTACTCTTATAAGTATAGATAGAAAGACAGTTTTAATCTATTGAATGACTTATAAAATCATATTTTTTGTTACAAAGTAAAGGAAATAGCCCATTCAGTTTGAACATTTCTGTCACGGTGACATTATAATTCAACTCGTGGCCAAAATTCCACACTGCCTATCGCTCATTTGACATCATAGATGAGGTTGACATTAAGCAAAGTAAAATAATATATATCTTATGTAGAATCCACTGGGACAAAACTTTGTGTGACATTATAACCAAGGTGTTCATACTTACCCTTTTGCATTGGGTAGGTCAAAGTGTGTGTCACAACCTTTTACAGAGTTATATTCAAAATGTAATTAAACTACTTTATTATCAATGTATACAAATAAACTTGGCATCAAGAAATAGTTAATAAATCAAATTTTACTATTATGCAAGTTTTACGTTCTTGATTTAATAAAGAAATGTTTTTAAAAAATCCTCAATCACCCCTAGTATGAGAACTGTCACATTTGCTCTCTATGTATTCCCTCTTCTCTAATTTATTTACCACCCTTCCAAGAAGTATGGAATGTAACGTAACTTTTTCCTTGTAATATTGCTATTATTCAGGCAAAGCATAATTTTTATAACCATCAATCTTATTTTGTTAAAGAGATATAAACTAAAAAATCATGCCCACCTGTCGCATCTTCTCTTTAACATAGTTCACTCTGACATTTAAGTTTATTATTTATAACCAATAGAAAGCCAAAAGTTTAATCTATCAAATGACGTATTATATTACATTGTTTTCTGTACAGAGAATTGTCTATTTTACTTCCAGTTCAAACTTTATTCCCATGGGAAACACATCAACTAGCTTAGCTGAATTTTTAATGGTTCTTATCATGTAATTAGAAAGCCAGAAAAACTGGGATAATTATAGGACATGTCTGGCTTTTACGTGTTATTATTTTGTATTCTTGGATACATTATTTAATTAAGTAAAAAATTATTTTTTGCAGTAAACAAATGAAATTTGAAAATGTTCAGATTTAGAAAAGTGTTTTTAGCCTTAACATTAAAATCACTTTTCACACAGAACAGTCAACACTCTGACACCACATAATTACAAAGTTTTAGTAAAAATGCTTAACTAAAATTTCTGATTTTTTGTCTACAAAAGACTTTTAGAGTTTACTGAAAGATACATAAGTACCTTCAGAGTTATAGTGTGTAAGCCACCATGTAACCATGGTGGATACCAGGTCAGGTAAATACACGACGCCATTACAACAGGGTTAAACAAGGAAGTTGCAAACCATTTTAACTGCAAACATAAACATTTTGAATTTTGACAAGGAGGAAGGAATAGTACAGAGCTAACCCATGAAAACTCCTTGAAAAGAAACTGCACATAATGTATGTAAATATGTGTGTGTGTGTGTGTGTGTGTGTGTATATATATAAAGAGAGAAAGAGACACACACACAGAAATACATCTATATCTTACCTTCTGTGAAAACCAGTCAGGTGGACGGTTTGGTTCTGCAAATGGTTTTATGGCACGACTCACAGATACCCTATTAGCAAAGAGAAGTTAAAACATTAATAAATACAACTTACATTTAATATCTTGCATATTTTTATATGTATATGCAAAAACAACATTAATTAAAACTATTGATGAGTGTTTTCTTTATACATTATAGCTTCAACAAAACTTCTACAAATGCAAATGCGCAATACTGAAAAAATGCTTGGTTTTTCAAATAGAATAGACATATGTATTATTTACTATTTTAAGGTTTTAAGAAGAATAGTCAACTATTCGAAAGCGCTCGAGTTTTGGGTCTCGTTTTGAAAACATTCAATTTTTGTAGGTGATACTGTGTGCTAACTACTTAACCTGGATTTGTTATAATTAGTAATTTACATTAAATTCCATACTACTCAGACATGTGATAAATAAATTAGATCAGAGGGAAAGCCTAGAGAGCAAATGTCACAATTCTCATTCTAAGGGAAATTGAAGATTGTTAAAAATATTTCCTTAGAAAATTTAGAACTTATAACTTGTATAATAATAACATTTAATTTATTAACTATGTTTAATGCCAATTTTATTTGTATACATTGATAATATTGTACTTAAATCAAATTTTGAACGTAATTATAAGAGGTGGTGTCATGTGCACTTTGACTTACTTGTTGTGAGAGGGTTAACTTTGCTACTACATTCTTTTTGATGCAACTATTTCTGCCATTATTAGAATTTCTGTAATTTAGTTAGAGACCTTACTTATGCATTTTTCCTTTAGTGTGCAGGGTATAGATGTAGCTGCATTGTCAGCCCTGATTAATCAAGTTTCCTACAATTGTATATTTTTTGATAGCCTTTGTTTACGGAACCATAAAATAGAAAACCAGACCCACTTGCCTCACTCACCAATCACATCTTTCACAACTTGCCAACTGTTCTCTCTGATGTTTTAGACTACATTATTTATAACCATTAGAAAGCTAAAGTTTTAATCTATCAAATGACTTATCATATCCCTTTGTCTGCTATACAGAGCATTGTCTATTTTACCATTTAGTTTCAAATGATTTCTCACAGAAAAATTATGATTATTACAAGACATTTTTTGCTTTTTTGCATGTTATTATTCTGTGTTCTTAGATGCATTATGAAATTAAAGAAATAGTGTAGTAGTACTAATAATATCAAAAAGTAGGCTTAAGTTTCATCAACAGTTGAAAGCAAAAAAAAAGACCCAGGTAAGTACTTGTTTCTTATTTTTCATGTGTATTCTTTATTTATTATTATAAAAGTAATTAAAATGTAAAAATTACAACTTATTTGGTTAGATTAGGTAAGATAATGAAAAAAATAATAATAATAAAAATTGTGCACGAGGTACACTTAAGAGTATCCTTCTTAATGTCATCAAATACAGTAAGTTGAGCTGTTCCTTCATCTAGTGGTTTACAACTTGTGGGGAGGATTGTTAGTTGTTGTTCTTGTTATTTGGGGGGGGGGGGGTCATGAAGAGCATCCTTCTTAATGTCATCAAATACAGTAAGTTGAGCTGTTCCTTCATCGAGTGGTTTACAACTTGTGGGGGAGGATTGTTAGTTGTTGTTCTTGTTGTTGGGGGGGTCATGAAGAGCATCCTTCTTAATGTCATCAAATACATTAAGTTGAGCTGTTCCTTCATCGAGTGGTTTACAACTTGTGGGGGAGGATTATTAGTTGTTGTTCTTGTTGTTTGGGGGGAGGGGCATGAAGGGGGAGTGCCCTATCATAGGTCTTCTCTGGATAAACTGACACTCCATTGCAATATGGGTATTTAATAAAATATGTTGCATCAGTATAAATTGCAATTAGTCTCTTTAGCAAGGTTCCGTAGTGTGCCCCCCCCCCCAACTTCTCATACATATGGAGCACCAAATATTGTTGGAGCATATGGAAATCATCCTATTATCACCCACAAATCATTTTTAATAAATGAATAACAGACAAATTGAGAAGATGCAATTAAAGTCATCTAGACTGATATTTAAATAACAACTTGAAAGAATTGAGAACATTTACCACAGATGTATCAAGCAAGTGAAATAAAAATGAAGGGCCATTTTGAATGCAATCTTGTGATTAAATGGCTGGTGCACCAGATGAAATAATGTGGTATGTGATAGTTAAATGTTCTATAATATCAAATTTCAATATTATTAGCAAAGTATGGCTTTTAAAACAGTCAACATCAAATGGATTGTTTTTTTTTAAATACCTTTTTCAGTCTCTTGACTTGTCCTGGCTTAGTACGTATCTTTCACTGCATCTGGCAAGAACTAATGAAGCTTCCTATTTGACAAATTTTCACAGGGAGGATTGTTTACAGACAAATGAAGTATAAGTGAGTAATGAAAACAAGTAGTGACAAGATGGGGAATGGGGTCCTGAATCAAGTGAAGATAAATTAAGCATTTTTGAAGTGATAGTATGTATACCTTCATGGTTACATTGTGGTTACAAGGTCATATAAAATACACAAGCCTGTTGAGAAGGGGTTAACATTGACTGAACAGTACAACTTCAAGAATGAAAAAAAGCATACAACCTTGATGGTATTATTTTGGTATTTTGAAATCTTGAATAATTGTACAAGCATACTACAGAATGAGCACTTATATTTAAATTCATAAATAAATTCCCTTTTTTTTTCAATTTGCTTTTTACAAGAACATAACTCTGCAAGGTCTACAGCAAAACATTATTCCAGTACAACTTCTTATGTTAATCAAACCCACTTGCTGATGTCATACTTTATTAAAACATCAATTATGGTAAACCAGAAAGATTTGAAATAATTGCAAACAACAATAAAAACTGAGTCATAAAAAAGTTAGGTTTCTGCATGTAAACAATATCACTAAGTAAAAATACACAGTTATTAAAAGAACTCATGTTAATCATAAGGGAATTTTTTTCTTTTTCACCATACTAACCAGTTTTGATCACCACTACGAAGCACTGAGGATGCAAGGCATAACTTTTCTTTTGCTGACCACTTGTCTGTGGGTGTCTGCTTGAGTTTCAACTCTGAAAAAAAAAGTTTGCATAAAACACTTAAAAACAAAGTGTCTGAATGATAAGTGGAACTTAATAATCACTTAAACGTTAGTTTCAACTGATTACATTTAACTAATATATTATTGTTATGTGAGATTTGGATAGATGGAAGAAAGGTAAATAGTAACAGTATGAAAGTTAACATTTTCCTTGCCAAAAACTGTATTTATGAAAGATACTTACTTCTACACACAGTAGCTATTTCTCAGGTATCTGATGTTGAAATTCTGCACCCACCATTAGCCTTGAATTATTTCCCACCTAAATCACGTATTTACACGAACTGCGCTAGTACATGATGTAATCATCTTTGGGCAACAGCTCTCCACCTATAGGAGGCCAACACATCCTACGTGTGCAGTAGATTCCCATAAACACTTGCACTCAAAATTAACTTCATTCTTAGAAGAGGCAAAATAATATGCACTAGTAGTGGGAAGGAAAGTTGGGAAGGTGTACAGAAAGGTAAGTATCTGTTGAAAATACATTTTCAGGTAGGGAAAATGTTACCTTCTGAAATGATCCACTTACTTCTCTGTATACAAAAGCTAGAATCTTATATTGATGTGGTGGGTGGTGGTGGAGGCAGTTCAAATGAGAAAACCTACATCTCCTTTCAGAGAAGGTATCAGACAAGAAAAGCCCATGAAGCATGACAACCAATAGCAGGGACTTACTAGAAAGGCAACACTCATGGAAGACCACAATCTTCTCAGGCAGGAAGGCAAAAATGAGCTTGTGTCCCAGGGACAGATGGAAACAATACATGAGCTTTTGCACACAAATGAACATGAGGTGTAGTGTGGTTAGAGCAATAACCAGACCTTACAGTTTGGTATGTGTTTGTTGTAGAATTTACTCACCAGCATACAGAACAGGGACAAAGGAGTTCTCCTGAGGAGAACACTTGGCCCCATCTGGCTGGTTAAAACTCCCAGAAAATTGGCACAGTAAAGAATAGGAGATGAACTGCACTACACCCTCCTGGACATCCCTACCCTACTTCCCACCACACTGTGCTGCCCACTTGGACTCTCTCTCCAGAGGATTAAACAACCAATGAGGAACTCTCCTAGTTGACCACCCCAGCAGCTAGGAAGCAGGAATGGCAAAAGCCTCCCATGCTCTACGCAAAGGCTGTGAGGGATTCACCTTGATGGGAATATGAAGAGGAGCCCAGGCTAGATCATATCTAACCACCACAAAGGTCTTTTACTGAAGAAATTGCAACGAGTTACCATGAAACCTACTTTGAAAAGCTGGCAAACATGAGGCAGAGAAGTGGGCAGACACTCCCCACATGGCAGCTTTCTCCATGATAGTCCATTGAAGGTACAGTCTATAATGGACATACACACACACACTACCAAAGTGGTCTTGCAGAAAACTATTTCAACAGTGAGAATATAAGTGTTTTAAAGCAGTTGGGCTAAATCCTTTCCATTACCCATGATTCCATGCTGATTTAATAGTGTATACCCTGTGAAGTAACACCAGCTACTGGGTGGGTTCTGAGATGGAGATGAGACTATTATTAAAAGTAAGTTAAGAAATAAATGAGGTAGTTGCCACATTAAAATTGGTGAATAGAGTGAAAAATAGTGAATGGAAGGAGAAGTCTAGATGAAGATAAAACCACCAGAAGATGAAGAAGGTGTGTTGGTTATTATTCACCTCTCTGGCTGTAAGATCTCACCCTACTGTCATTGAAAGGGTGAGGCTAAAGTGAGTCAAGAGACAAACCTGATGAGAAGTGACACGATAGAGTCAACAAGTGTCAACTTCTAGGGAAGAACAAATGACCCAGATGCTAAAAGAAATTGATAAGCGAGTTGCCTTGTTTAGAGACAAAACTGCTTGAAGGTGTGCAGAAATGAAATACAAACTTTTTATTTCTTCATGAATTATACTAAATAAATGTCAGAAAATGACAAAGTATTGACTAAAATATTTCCGAGTTAAAATTGTTAAAATATAGTTCAAATTAACATGAGAAATTGACTGTAAAATTTGTGTCTGAAAAAATGAAGTGGCATAAAAATATGAAAAGCCACGGGAAATCTTGTCTTCAGACTCCAAGCACAATAAATTGTAACTAAGTTACTTTGTCAATCCTAAACTTTATACATGAAAATGTATCATGTACAACACAAGTGCATAGTTTAATGTCTAGAAACAATAAAAGATTTATTCACTTATCAATCATCTGTTGAAAAAAATGTGCATTTTTTCCAAACTCCTTTTTAACTCCTCATTTAGTAACCTAAGTTATTTTGGGTATGTAAATAACATTGTAGCATTGCACCAAACTTACTATTCAGTTTTGTACAGCAAATCAACTTTGTGACAATATTATACATTTCTTTTCTTTAGGTTAATAAATGACAAATTATAGATCACTTAAAAAACTCTATACATAAAACACCACCATTATAATAGGCCTTCCTTAATGTTTGCTTACTTAAGCTGTGCTGATGAGCCTTAAGTAGGCAAAACTGTATTCCACAGCAGAGGATAAGTGAATCAAAAAACACAAAAGGCCTCTACATTACAGATAACATTTTCAATTTTACCTTAGGTGAAAATAAATTTGTAATATCATCATTTTCCACATATTATTCCAGACAATTCAGTATTGTTTTCCATGTTTATAAGCATGTTTATGATAAGGGTGTTAATAGTTTATAATCTAAACATTAACCTAGAGTAAAACATTTTGAATTTTACTTAAACTATTAAACATTAAAAATGCACAAGTCAACTACTTAGAAACTAAGTGCTACTCAGAAGTTATTTCATTGATTACTTTCTATTTTTGTCACATGGAATTAATGGTAGATAGTGAGATTCACGTTTCATCTTAACCTTACATTTGTAAAAATACATCTTTCAGCTATTCAGTTTTACTACAATTTCCCCATATCATTATAATTATATATATATATATAGTTATTAATATTACTCATAGATTATAACATTTAGCAAATATATATATATTACTACCAAATTGAATCTAAGACTCTAAAAGACAAAAAAATACAATAAATTATTCTGATAAATATATTATATAAATGCATTTAAATAAATAATAAAAAAAAATGTCAGGTTTTTCCAAATACAGCAACTAATGTTAGAAATGACAGTTTAATTGCTTTAAATTGAACTATGTTTTTGACATTGCCAGCTGCAGAAAAAACTGACATAAAACCAATCACGCTACAGCAATACTGTCTTAAGGAAATTTAAACAAGCAAAACACTGTTCAGGTATATTTTAATACAAAGGAATATCAAAAAGTAAAATGTAGGCTGCTTTCTACAGAGGGGCAAGTAGGGAAACAATGTTAAATCATTTCAAAATAAAGCATCCTGCTAGATCTAAACAATTATACAAATATATGCTAGAAGTGCTATAATAACATACTTAATGCTTGCTGTCTAATTAAAATAAGCCATTATTATATCTCAGATGAAAGTATTTTTCATATTACTTCATTATTTTTATATTTATAGAATTTACACAAATATGCAGTATTATATACAAAGTTATTTGTACAAGAAAGTAACAGCTCTTTCTCAATGATCTTTTTTAAACTAACACAATAATGTTTAAATCTTCAAAAAATCTTTTACAAAAAAAAATAAATCAAACAACATATAACGTTTTCTAGTTATAACTTTATCTTACAAAAAACCATTAAGGAATGAATACAAATATAACTAGAAAGTCCAAGCAGATAATATTATTGTGGTAAAAAAAGGGAAAAAATTTAACTTATCTAAACTAGTTGCATTAATTTTTTATTTTTCACAATGGTATGCCACTAGTTAATCTTTTAAAATTTGGCTGTGTAAAGTTATAACCACAATTTCCAGTATTTTTTTATTTGAAAGGAGAGACTTCCACTATAATAACACAGTAATTTGAATTGTTCATTGTCGGCCATAAAGTCCTAAATAACCCACATAAATCAAAGTTAAAATTACATTAAAATATTCTGTAAATGATTATCTGGGTCACTTTATAATACAGCAATTTCAATGTTTCTATTATTATTTCTAGAAATGTGAATCATATGAAAATAAAAACAGTTAATTACAAACATTTCAATTTTTTTCATTAAAATTAAATACTTATACTTATTTATAATCATATTTACAATAAAATTACAGCATTGCTAAATAGGATGTCTGTTTTAAATCTTTTATTTTTAAAAAATCATTATATGTTATACAATCGTGAGAATTCTAGCTTCTAAAGCAATGAAAAATCAATTCTGGAACAAGCCTATGCTATAAGACCTGTAAATGTCCTAAACAATACTAACTTTGATGAAAAATTTCTAACAGTCTAGACACATAGAATTGTTTTATTACAAGTTAGAGCTTTTACAGTAAGGAAGAATATTTTTAAAACAGGTACAACATTTTGATCACTGGTGCAATCATTCTCAAGTACACAAGTTTTAACAGTAAAGGTTTTAGTATTTAAATTAACATTCAACAATCTAGCAATGTTTTTAAATTTTTAGGAATGATGGTAGTTACTTATGAATGTGCATATCAATCCTCATGAATTAATAGATTATAGTGAATAAAAATTAAAATCTCAAAATGTTGTGTGAAATATTTTGCATAAGATTAGGAATGTTTGGAAAACTAATGATCACAGACATATAGAGATGTTCCTGAGTATTTGTTAATTGTTGGATTGTTTGATTTTATTAATAAGGCTTCTCTAATTAATGTCAGGTTCATGTTTGAGTAATGTACCATACCAAAGGGAGAAGCGCTTCCATAGAAGCTACATCCCAAAATGCATTAAAACCTTGCTAGCAGTAAGGTAGTTAACCATAATAGATTAGATAACAGAAAGCTCCATCGAATGCATTCAAGGAGGAGGATGTTTAAAATGAAACTCCCCAAATACAGTACTTCCCTCATCTCATAAGATTAGCTAAAAACCCACATTGATTAGGAGGATACCTCTATAGATGAGAGAGTCCAATCCAAATATCTGGAGAGGGGGAACCGCACCACTTCTAATCCAGGTATACTCTCCACCCAGTTGTGGAATGTATAAAAAATTAGGGTGGAAAATGAGAGGAGCACATCCAAGTAGGAGAGAAGGCGGTAGGAAAGTGATTCTGATCGGTGAAAGATATAGTAACTCAAAATAAATCTAAATTACCAAAATAAAATTGAAATAAACCTAAATTATTCTTTTTTTCTTTCTAGAATGACTTAGAGACCTAGAGAATCACCCACAAAATTCACTGGGAGTGCCTCAGAATTGAGGTGTAGAGAGGAAAGGTAAATAAGTGTGCTAAAAAGGATCAGGTGAAAACAAGAGCATTAGGTGCTAGAGGATGAAACCAATGACAATTAGTCTGCCTCCTCTCCCAAACAAGCAAGAGCAATCCCAAGCATAAGAATCGCAAAAGGGGATGCAAAATGACCAAAATCGAGGAAACAAGAATTGGATATACAGGGAGGGCGAGGCTTGAGGTTGTAGAAACATAAGTTGTCCAGGAAAACGAAATGAGTTAAGATTAAGAAGTAGGGAACAAGAAGAATATGACACAGGGGAAAGTAAACAAGTGGTGCATACCTGAGAAATTAAGTCCAGAAAAAGTTTCTCTACAACAGGGAGAGAAGTTTCCGAAGCATAACCAGGTGAAGGAACAATCAAAGTTGCCCTCCTCATTCCTCCCATAAAACAAAGAGAAGGAAAGCCTGAAGAAGGGACTGGAGCTGAAGGTCCTGGCAACATAAAGGAATCCACTACTTTATTCATGATGACCACCACGTCAACCACAAGGATTGTGCCTCCATAAGTCATAATTGTTACATAACCTGTAAGGAAATTAATCACACACAGAAGTAGTAGAATACATAAACTAGCAATAAGTTGACAAAGAAAAAACACATCTGACGTGTTCAGTGCTGAGGAAAAAAAATTCACAAGTGCAAAAGCATAGAGGGAGTTAGTGCACAGGAAGGTTGTGTCACCATCCTATTAGAGGAGGGCTTTTACAGCATAATAAATTCATTATGCAACATCACAATTCACAAGAAAACTCGTGAGATTAGGTAGGAGTTACCTAAAGGCTAGTGACATGCAAATCTCTAAGGCAGACTCACAGGGAAGATTTTCTTAATTTTGTGGATAACAACAGGAGTTGAATTAGTTTTAAGCCATATTTTTTATCAGATGCTTCTCACATTTAAAGGAATCCTTAGAGTAAGAAGCCATGAAGACTATATTATCTATAACAACCTCAACTAGCTCAATAAAGACATCAAGTAATCCTGAGAACTGTTTATTAACACACAAGGATAAGTTACACATGACAATTCATAAATACTGGACAAGAGACATTCACAAGCTGAGTGGCAAATCCAATGAGAAACCTACATGGTAACACCTGTATAAGCAGTACTGAGAAAAAACTACTAATGAAAAATTCTTTCCCTTTCTTAACTTAGCAGTGAAGTGTTTATGTAACTCAGCTCAGTATATGTCAGAGCCACATGTTGATAAAAATTAATGTAACTGTACGTCACAAACCAATCAACAATAAACATCATATAAAATATCTTGTGACTGTTGAATTACATCAAATACTGAGGGTTAAGCTCAGACAATATGATTGCACAAAATGTAGGAATGGAACTTGTAAATTAACAGGTGTGTGTGTGTATAATGTACTAAGTGTGAAATGACGTGTTAATATATGTAATGATTATGTGATAACAGACATTTGCATCTGAACGAAGAGATAATTCTAACTTAATTCCTCACATACTCCACGTGATGCCTAACCAGAAATGATAACCTCTTTTAGCTTGTATTCAATGCTCCTATAGATACAACTAAAAATCCCATCTGCTTTTCCATTAACAACAGTAACTTAAGAGACTGATAAAATAAAACAATAATATCATTTTCTTCCATAACACTACCAAACTGATCTCCATAAATGTAGTAATTATAGTTTAAATTAATGTAGCCCATATGCATTACCTTGCACTTAGCATAACTAAAGGTTATCTGCCATTTATGTTCCTAATTTGCCAAAGTTTCCAAATCCCTTTGTAAAACAACAACTTCTTTAGAGCCAACTAAAACCAATATGGTATTCATCTTTTTTATACCATATCCTCTGTACAAAAATAATAATGACTGTCATTTTTATTTTAGAATAATTCTTAACTATGAACGCTTTTAGCTTTACATGTACAATGGTATAATACTTAATAGGCCTAAGGTTAAACCAAAGCTCTTACTAGCAACATGACAACACAATCTTATTCTAAGTACAAGTTCCTACAACAGTACAAGTACAGTACTACAATTTGGTACAAATACTTTATCATCTTTAACAATTATTCAAACAAGTTGTTCTCTGACTCTGAAGACAGTGACAGGAGAAGTAATACATTGTGTGACTGAGTAATTCAGTAATTGTTAAACTATATGCATGTTAATTAGTGATTCGTAAGTATAGTTCGAGTTTAGGCCCATACTGTTATGTTATTGTTACACTTATATTCAAATTATAAAAATATTAGTTAGAAAGTTGAGTTAAACTTAAAACTATATTAAATTAAAAAAGTAAAATGCCCAAGTATACGTTATTATAGGTTAATAGTATTAATTAATAATAATAGTAACACGTATATTTTAATACGACTAACAACAATGCAATGTGGGTACTCTTTCTTACGTCTGTAACATTTAATTAATCCGATAAGGTGTAATAAGAAAAACACAAGAATTACTTCAACTTTAAAACTTACTTTGCGAAGCAACTGCCATTTCTGTAAGTTGGTTTTATTGAGACAATCTTGAAAACAATGCGATAAGCCTAGATTCCCGTTCAAATTACAGGACATTAGTTAAACCTAATCACTATATATATCTACAAACACATATATTTAAATGATAACTTATTAAATAAGTCTACACGCACTCTCACAAATCTACGTAATAAACGAAATTCTTTATTTTACCTCCTTGACTTCTTATTTTATGTTAGTTACTATTTTGTGTGTGTCTTATATTCCAGATATTTTTTTCGTTTTTTAAAGGTTTAATACATAAAACACGATAGTTACTCAAAACTTTATTTTTTCTATCAGGTAGATAGAGTGTTCTTCAATTTCTCATGATCTTTCAGTTTTCTTTGATTTAGCCTATTCTGCTTTTTATGAGTAATTTGAATTATTCAAACTAGATAAAAATAAAAAGAAATCATACAATAAGACCTAAAACAATTATTCTCATGACATGCGACTGATGCGTATGTTGTTAATGGTACGCAAGATAGGAAACAACAAGAATTGAAACTGTATCACCCCTAATATTGTTTTAATATAATTTAACGTGGATATATTAATGTAAAAAGGAGCTTACAGGCTGAAGTACCACGTTGAAAATGTAAAGTTTAAATAGTGGGGTAGTATATTGTTTATTTAATTGTTTGTTTATTTGTTATCAAACACAAACCTACACTACGGGCTATCTGTGTTGTGACCACCACGGTTATCAAAACCCGGTTTTTAGTGTTATAAGCCTTCAGGTTTACTGTTGAGCCACTGGAGGGCTATAGTGAGTTTGTAAAACTTTACATTTTAACATAGGACTTCAGCTTGAAAGTTTCTTTATACGTTTATAACACCCAGTTGCCTCCTCTGCATCAGCCTGGCTACGGCCTTCTTATTTTAATTCTATTAAAAGATATTCGAGTAAAGACTTTACTTTTAAATCATCATGTTACAATGTACAAATGTACTTGTTTCCAGCACGAGTTTGGGGCAGAGG